ATAAAAGTAAGTCAGTATTCATAGCTATTTTTCTTCACGAATAATGTTGTAATTTTTTTAGTTTGTTCAGAAGATTGTCGCTCCTATTTTAGTCTGTCGACCTTGACATGCTGCTTCTGTCTCTTTTGAGGTTGTGGCCAGTTCGTGACTATTTATTAACCAAAGACATGGCGAAAGCCTCGGCAGAAACGACTTGCATATGCGCTGAATCGAGTCGAACGAAAGGAAAATCTTCTGTTTTATTAATACCGTGCCTGATATGTCGATATGAGGCATACAAATGTAAAACAATGATCCAAACGGCTCAACATCAATTCGTTTGCAAAACAACAACAAAAAATCCAAACGACTCAAGACTTTAATAAGACAGCTAAATGACCTTTTTAAAAAGCTCGTATGAAGGTGTTTCCGTTATTCTGGACGCTGTGTTTGTTGACATCTTGCATCAAAACTGCTGTAGTTTAATTTTCCTGCGCGTAATTTCACGGCTGCTTGAAATTAAAATAAACATTTCCCTTATTAATGTCTCCGTGAATGCAAAATAAGCCGCTTCGTAGCCAGTATAGGCTGGACGTAAGTTCAGATGCGTGCGCTCGTTTGTATCAAGAGGTGCCGCAGAAATTCCTCCAACATATTTTACATTTGTTTTCATTTGTTGCATGGTCTTTATTTTATCTACAGAACATGAAAGTTCCCTGACTGTGCGGTGGAACAAAGCTGACTGCCAGTTCTGTGATGTATTCGCAGGGAAAAACCCTCGTTGTAAGAGCAATTTTCTTGATAGTTTACGGTTTCGTGGGCGCTGCAGTTTTCACACTTCTTGAAAAGCGAGAAGAAAGTAGCAAGACGACCTCGAATGGAATGTTAGAAGAACTGCGGAAGAACTTTACTAAACACCAAAACATATCAGAAGAAGAATTTAAATTCTTCTCAATGGCCGTGTACAATGCAGTTCGTGTTGGGCTATCGGCGGACTGGACTTATTTCAGGGCAGTGGATTTCACCTACACAGCTCTTACTACTATTGGTTAGTGTTATCATTTCACACATTGCCAAGAGAGGATGAAGAAAGAGTAAGAGAGTGAATCTTCCATATGGGCCTTATCACTTCCGGTCTGGGAAACATGATCTCAGTAAGGTCTGAAAATAACCAATCCTGTAACGCAGGATTTTGCTCACGTGCACAGCCTCGATTTTTCATCCTCCACGAAAACATATTCCTCTGGATGTTCTGGTACCACCAAATTTCGACCATTTAGACTACCTGAGAAAATAATTCTTTTCATCACGGGCCGGAATCTCGTGTAGTATCAGTATGTACCACTTGATGCAAGCCTTCCATAACAACAGGTTGATCGACTCATCCTTCTCTTGTCTTCCCTAGTGTATATTTGTATATAATTGTGCCTGCTGACCTCAAACCTTCTCGTTTTTACTTTCTTGCAGGATACGGGCATTTAACGCCGGTCACCACATACGGGAAACTCTTCTGCATTGTCTTCTGCTTATTTGGAATTCCTGTATGTCTGCTGACCCTGAAAACCGCGGGAGAACTTATTTCAAGATTTTTGACATG